CCCCATTTCTGTCCCCTCTCACCCTGTTCCCATCCCACTCTTCACTCCATTTCTGTTCAACTCTCACCCTACTTCTGTCCACATCCTCACCTCACTTCTGTCCCTTCCATCACCCAATTTTGTGCTCCCTCCTCATCCCATTTCCGCTCTCCTTTGCCCCATTTCAACGCCATCCTTGCCCTTTTTCCACTTTCTTCTCATCCCATTTCCATTCCCCCACTTTCCATTCCCACCTGTCTCAGCCCTTTTCCTCCCCAGTCTCAGCCCATTTCCACCCCATTCTCAGCCCATTTCCACCCCAGTCTCAGCCCATTTCCACCCCAATCTCAGCCCATTTCTATCCCATTTCTTGCTCCATTTTCACCTCTCCTTGCCCCATTTTCACCCCTCTAATTGTTCCATTTTCTTCCCCCTTTTGTCCCATTTTCTTTCCCTTCCTTGCCCCATATTTGTCCCCCCTTCACCCCATTTAGTCCACATTCCTCCCCCATTTATGTTCTTCTCTGCACCCATTTCTCTCCCACTTTCACCCCATTTCCATCTTCTTCCTCACTCTATTTCCACCTTTCTCCCCATCCCATTTCTTTCCCCCCTTGCCCCATTCCCATCTGCCTCCTCACCCCAATTCCGTCCTGCTCACCCCATTTCTTTCCCTTTCTGCATCCCATTCCCACCTCCTCCTTGCCCTATTGCTGCCCCATTTCCATTCTCCTCTCTTTATTTCCATCCTACTCTCACCCCATTTCTTCCTCTCCCCATCTCCATCCCTCTCCTTGCCCCATTTCTACCTCCCTCACCATCCTGTTCCCTTTCTCTTCCTCGCCCCATTCCCATCCTTTCCTTAACCCCTCTTCCACTGCCACCCTTCATCTCCCCTTCCCACCCTGCCTCTGTTCCTGCCGGTACCTTCTCCCACCCTCCATCCCCATCTCCTCCTCCTCCTCCTCCTCTCCTGCTGCCTCCACTTTTTCTCTCTCTCTCTCTCCTCCCTCCTGACTTGCACTCGGCCTGTCTGGTCCCTGGAGCCCCACAGCAGCAGCTCCTCTGTCTCCCCGACTCTCGCTCTCCTCCGGTGCCGACGCACGGTCTCCGCAGTCAGACCCCTCTTAGACTCCGCTGGTTGTGCGTCCGTCCGTCCGCCCGTCCGTCCGTCCGGAATGCCCCTTCCCCGCGTCCGGCCGCCTCCCTGCCCGCGGGGTGGGGGGACGCTGCCTGACGCCCGCCGCCGCTGCCTCTCCCCGCAGCGCCCGAGGCCCCCGTCATCGACACGCAGCGCACCTACACCTACGACCAGATCTTCCTGTGCTGGCGGCTGCCGCAGCACTCGCCGCCCGCCTGGCACTACACCGTGGAGTTCCGCAAGACCGACGCCAAGGCCAAGGGGCTGAAGCTGTGGCAGCGGCGGGAGGAGGTGAGGGGCACCTGCGCCCTCGTCGAGTACCTGGACACCGACAGCGTCTACGTGCTCCGCGTGAAGGGCTACAACAAGGCGGGCTTCGGGGACTACAGCGAGGACATCTACCTGCACACGCCGCCCGCCCCAGGTGAGAGGGGATGGGTGCTGGGATCAGCACGGAGCGCCCCGCTGTGCTGCGCTGCTCACCTTTCTCCTCTCTGCTCCCTGCAGTCCTCAACTTCTTCCTGGACAACCGCTGGGGCTTCAACCGGGACCGGCTGGCCATCAGCAAGGACCAGCGCGCGGTGCGCAGCGTCCCCGGCATCCCCATGCTCTTCGCCGCCGAGCGCCTGATGACCAGCTGCCACCTCTCCATCGACCTGGTCATCGGCGACGTGGCCATCACCCAGGGCAAGAGCTACTGGGCCTGCTGCGTGGACCCCAGCTCCTACCTGGTCAAGGTGGGCGTGGGGCTGGAGAGCAAACTGCAGGAGTGGTTCCAGGTGCCGCAGGACGTGGTGAGCCCCAGGTGAGCGCGGCGCTTTGGGGGTGCAGGGTTTGTTCTTACCCCCCCCAGCAGGCACTGGGACATGCCCCGGGATGTTCTTACCCCAGGCTGACCTGTCCCCGTCCCACAGGTACGACCCCGACAGTGGCCACGACAGCGGGGCAGAGGACACGACGGTGGAGGCTCCTCCTCCCTACGCCTTCCTCACCATCGGCATGGGCAAGATCCTGCTGTCGCACGGCTCGGCCCTCACGTCCCGCGACCCCAACGGCTGCACCGTGCCCTTGCCCCCTCGCATTGGCATCTGCCTGGACTACGAGCAGGGCAAGGTGAGCTTCTACGACGCCGTGTCCTTCCGCGAGCTCTGGGAGTGCGGCGTGGACTGCTCGGGGCCCGTCTGCCCCGCCTTCTGCTTCATCGGAGGGGGGGCCCTGCACCTCCAGGAGCTGGTGGCCAACAAGCAGGAGAGGAAAGTGACCATCGGGAACTTCGCCAAGCTGGACTGAGCCATGCCCGCGGTCCCCACGTGCCCCATGGGGGACACACGTGGGAGCAGAGCGGAGCAGGGGCGGCCCTGCCACCGCTGGGGACAGGCCAGGTGTTTGTTTTGTGGGACGGGGGGATGGGGACAGCTTTGCCGTCCCCTCCTCACCCTGTCCGCTTGCCCCGAGCTCCAGCTCAGCCCCAGGCTGCTCTGGGCAGGGCTGGCACAGGGTCGGCCCTAGAGATGGGTCAGGGAGGGGGACGGGGCTGAGCAGGGAGGGGGGTGGAAGGTGACGGTGGGGTGACACTGCAGGGCAGAGGCTGGGTGCTGGTTGGGGCGGGGGAAGCAGCTGGGGTGGGGGAGAGGGCTGGGGCGGGGTGGGGGAGGCTGGGCTGGAACAAGGTGTGAAGGTGTTTTGTAAAATGGCTCATTTTCAACGTGGGTCGTCTGGCTGCAGCCCCTGGGCACGGCCAGCGTGGGGTCCCTCCCGTGGGCTGCTGGGCACCGTGGTGCCGCCTGCTCTGCCCTGTCCTGGGGGAGGAACGTGCCTGGCCAGCCCTGCACTGGGCTCCTGTTACACCCAGCCCTGTGGCCGGGGTGGGCTGGGGCTGCAGGGTCTGGGTGTGAGCCCGGCCAGGGAGCCCCAAGCACCGTGGGGGCCGTGGCAGCAGTGCCACAGCAGGACCTGGCCGAGCTGCTGTCGTTTCTCCTGGGTTCTGCTACAACAAACGCTGTATTTTCATGGTTTCCTACAATAAACTGCAATGCCAGACTCCTCCGGAGCCGCCCTGGCACTGCGGGGCCATGGGACCAGGCTGGGCACGGGGTCAGGGTGCCAAGGGACGTGGGGACCTTGGGTTTGGGTTGGTGGTGGGGTCTCAGGGCTGTGGGGTCGCAGGGTTTTGGGGTCTGTGGGGTCTTACGGCTGTGGGGTCACAGGACTGTGGGGTTGCAGGGCTGTCAGGTTGCAAGGCTGTGGGGTCTCAGGGCTGTGGGATCCGTGGGGTCACAGGGCTGTGGGGTCTGTGGGGTCTCAGGGCTGCAGGGTTGCAGGGCTGTGGGGTCTCAGGGCTGTGGGATCCATGGGGTCTCAGGGCTGTGGGGTCTGTGGGTTCTCAGGGCTGTGGGGTCTGTGGGGTCTCAGGGCTGTGGGGTCCGTGGGGTCTCAGGTCCATGGGGTCTCAGGGCTGTGGGGTCTGTGGGGTCACAGGGCTGTGGGGTCTCAGGGCTGTGGGGTCCGTGGGGTCACAGGGCTGTGGGGTCTGTGGGGTCTCAGGGCTGTGGGGTCCGTGGGGTCTCAGGGCTGTGGGGTCTCAGGGCTGTGGGGTCACGGGGCTGTGGGGTCCGTGGGGTCACAGGGCTGTGGGGTCCGTGGGGTCTCAGGGCTGCAGGGCTGGGCTGGCCCTGGCGCCGTGGGCCCAGCCTGTCCAGGGGCACGTGTCCAGTGGCGTGCACGGGACCGGGGCCATGGGGCCGGGCTGTCCTTTGGGCCGTGGCCAGCAAGTGCCAGCCCTGCCCAGCAGTGCTGACGTGTCAGGTCCTCCCCGAGCTCTGCCCGGCCACGTGGGCACTGCCACTCCAGCTCCGGCTGTCGGGGGGCTCCTGGATGGGACATCTCCCCATGGAGCCCAGAACAAACTCCCTCAGCACTGCCGGGGAGCCCCATGGCAGCCAGCCCAGCCAGGGGGGCTGGGGGGTCTCGGGGCTGTGGGGTCTGTGGGGTCTCGGGGCTGTGGGGTCTCGGGGCTGTGCAGTCACAAGGCTGTGGGGTCTGTGGGGTCTCAGGGCTGTGGGGTCACAGGGCTGAGGGGTTTCAGGACTGTGGGGTCTGTGGGGTCACAGGGCTGGGTGCTGAGGCACCTTCTCAGGGTGGGTGTTGGAGCTGCACCCCCCCAGCCTGGGTGCTCTGCAGGGCAGCTGGAGGGGCCACAGGTGGGTCCCAGTCCCTGGAGGTCCCAGTCCTGAAGCTGGACGGGGAGGGGGTTGAGCTCTCTGTGGTCACCCAACCCTTTGTAGGGCCCAGCCCTGCAAATTTGGCCCCTGCTCCGATTCCTGGGGCCCTGCCCAGGGCTGGGGGGGCTGAGTGGGGCAGCAGCAGTGCCAGGCACACCCCGTCCCCTCTCCTAGGCACACAGCCCCGTGCCCAGCTGGCAGAACGGATCTGGGTGTGGGGGGTGCTGCACTGAGCCAGACCCCCATCAGTGCCCCCCCCAACAGTCTGAGGGCACCCCCTGTGCTCCGGAGACCCCCAGCCCCTGGCCCGCAGCCCAGCACAGCTCTGAGAGCTCCCAGCACGTGCCAGGGTTCCTGGGCACCTGGCACAGCCATGGGCCCCACCCAGGCCCACGTTCTGTGGCCGAGGGCTCCGTCAGCGTCCCGCTGCTGGGCTGGTCCTGGGGCTGCTCCCGGCCGAGCCCTGGCTCCGTGCCTGCGCCCACACGGGCTTTCTTTGGAGAAGGTTTGCTTTCCTTGTTTTTCTGCCTTTTCAGTGGTTGCCAAAACACTCCCAGTGCCCAGGAACAAGCCCGGCTCCGACTGGGGCTGCCAGGGGGCCACCGCCGTGCTCCAGGGACGGCTGCTCCACAGCTTTGTGTCCCGGTGCTGCCACGCAGCCTCTTCTTCCAGCACCCCCAGAGCCTTTTTTGGGCTCACTGAGTGTTTGGAAGAGCCCGAGCCCGCGCGGGCAGGGCAGGGGAGCAGGACACGCCGCACGCAGTCAGGGACACGCGTGCAGCTGCACTGCATTCCACCTGTGCAGCCACCGGGAAACCGGACATGTCAAAGGAGACACGTTAAATCACGAGCAGAAACCCGAGACACGTTAAATCCCGAGCAGAAACCGAGAGCGCGGGAGGGGTGAGAGGGACGGGGGCTGGCAGGATGTGTCACATCCAGAGGCGTGCGGGCACCAGGGACGCGGTGACACCGCCAGGACTGCCTGGAATGGGAAACAAGAGCCACCACCCAAGCCGAGGCCACCTAGGTGGGTGACAGCCACGTCGGGGGGATTCACCACCCCAGAGAAGCCCCCCTGGCACACCACAGCAGGGGCCACATGGCTGCCCCCATCCTTTTATTTTAACCGCGATAAATACACCCCAGCCGAGGACCTGCCACCCCGCAAATGGAGATATTTATAGAAAACAACACCACGAAAAGAGCAGGGGGGAGCACCAGCCCAGCCCTCCACCCGCCCCGGCACGCAGCAGGGTTGCAAAGCCAAGCGAGTGCGGGGACCGTGGGGCGTGCGGGACCCTCCCTCCCGCCGCCGATCTTCGTCCATCCACTTCTGGCACGTGCACGAATCCGGCTGCTCCAGAAACCATCGGGCTCCCGCTGCCCACGGCCGAGCAGCACGGGGGATGCGCCCGGGGGCCGCTGCTGCTCCCTGGGCAGCCGCCCTCCTTCCCTGCTCGCCCTTCAGAGGTTGTCGGAGCCGGCGGCGGGGTTGGTGTAGGTGAAGGTGCCGGCCCTCGTGGTGCTGCCGCCGGCCACCTTCGGGGCAGGAAAGATGAGGGGGGGTGTCAGGATTTGGCTGAGGCAGCACAGGAAGACCTGCACCCTCTCCACGGCCACTATGGGCAAGAATAAATATGATTGCCTGGCAGAAGATTCACAATAGTACAGCCAGGATGAAAACAATCCCCCCTATTGGTTGGACAATGCCCTTACCTACAGATAGGTCCAAAAATCAAATGGACTACTCAATCTCAACCCCCAAAATGCACAGTTCATCCCACACCTGTATCCCTCCCCTGAAGCATCAGGCCTCTGTGACCCCATTGGCCCAAGTCTTGTTCCAGCCCACCTTGAAGCCCCCTGACAAGGGGTCTCTGAGGGGCCAGATGCTCTCTTAGAACTTCCTCTCTCTTGGATCTTCCCCTCTCTTGGAACTTCCCCCCTCTTAGAACTTCCCCCCTCTCCTGGAGCATCGTCTTGTCTCTCCTGTCCTCCAATCCCTCAGGCCTTACCACGCTCCAAGCGAGACCTTTCACCATCCCAAATAAACCTGATATCCCAAGAGCAGCTTCAGAGATCTCTCGTCTCCATCCATCAAAGCCGTCCTGGAGCCCAGCCTTCCCTACATCCTCCCACTGTGGTGGGGCTGCTGCCCCCAACCACGGGCACCCACGGACGCCCCCAGCCCCCACTCCCCGTGGCAAGGAGGAGCAGCGGTGGCCCCGGCTGTGTTCCCGAGCGATAAGCCGGCCTGGCGAGTGCGAAGGTAAATATTTACCCAGGCCCCTGGTATTTGCTCAGGGTGAGCTGCTCGAAGGGAGCCAGAGCAGCTGGACACGGCCCCCGCCCACAGCCCCGCGTGGGGGGAGTGCAGGGCACGGGCGGACGGGGCCCCCCGCACCCCACATCGCCTTGGAGAGCCTTTTGCACCTCCAGGCAGCAGCTCCAGCTCGTTTCGGAGCTGCTGCTGTGGGATGAGGGATGCTGGCCGCGGGAATCGCCTCCTCAGCCCCCACATCAGCGCCCCAAGCTCCCCACCCGCGGCAGCAGGAGACCCGAGGGTCTGGGTGGGGCACAGCCGAGCAGGGTGGGCAGGCAGCGAGCCCCCCGGTGCCGCAGGGATGGGGCACCGGCAGCGGCTGCCCAAGGTCGCGGGAGCTCCCCGGAGCCGCTCCCAGGCTGCTCCAGCCAGGCGTGAATGTTAGGCACACCTCCCGGCGAGGTGACGAGCTCCCAGAATCCCAGAATCGCGGAATCCCGGAATCACAGAATCACAGAATCACAGAATCACAGAATCCCAGAATTGCAGAATCGCAGAATCACAGAACCACAGAATCACATAATCACAGAATTGTGGAATCGTGGAATCACAGAATCTCAGAATCTCAGAATCTCAGAATCTCAAAATTGCAGAATCTCAGAATCACAGAACCACAGAATTGTGGAATCGTGGAATCACAGAATCTCAGAATCTCAGAATTGCAGAATCACAGAATCTCAAAATTGCAGAATCTCAGAATCACAGAACCAGAGAATTGCGGAATCGTGGAATCACAGAATCTCAGAATCACAGAATCCCGGAAACACAGAATCGCAGAGTCGCGGAATCGCAGAATCACAGAATTGCAGAATAAAAGAATCCCAGAATCCCAGAATCTCAGAATCACAGAATCGCAGAATTGCGGAATCCCAGAATCCCAGAATCCCAGAATCCCAGAATCACAGAATCTCAGAATCGCGGAATCGCGGAATCACTGAATCCCAGAATCTCAGAATCCCAGAATCACAGAATCTCAGAATCTCAGAATCTCAGAATCTCAGAATCTCAGAATCATGGAATCACAGAATCCCAGAATCTCAGAATCACAGAATCTCAGAATCTCAGAACCACAGAATCTCAAAATAAAGAGGTTGGAAGAGACCTCTAAGATCATCAAGTCCAACCTGTGCCCTAACACCACTGGACTATAGCACCAAGTGCCAAGTCCAGTCTTTTTTTAAACACATCCAGAGATGGTGATTCCACCACCTCCCTGGGAAGACAACTGCGGTATTTTATTATTCTTTCAGTGAAATTTCTTTCCTAATATCCAACCTAAACCTTCCCTGACGTATCCTGAGGCTGTGTCCCCGCACACCCGTGTCCTGCCCTGCCATCTCTGTCTGTCACCTGCCCTGCCCTCCGGGGAGCCCCGCGCTCTCACCTGGCTGTAGGGGTTGGGTTTGCTGCTGGGGGACACGTAGCGCCCGTGGCTCTGGTACTGCAGGTATTCGGCCATGGGGTGGTAGGAGTCCTTCTGGCTCAGCAGGTCCAGCTTCCCGCGGCTTTTCCGGCGGCAGGTGCACGTGGACTTGGGGAGAGAGAGGGCTCAGAGCTCGGCCGGCGCCAGGGCAGCGAGCAGCAGAATGCAGGTGAGGATTGGGGCGGGGATGGGGCCTCACCATCAGCAGGAGGCAGGTGAACATGGTGAACAGCAGCAGGATGCTGACCAGGACCAACAGAGCAATGGCCCAGTCCGGGATCACGGGCGCTGGAGCTGGGGACGTCACTGCTGCGGAGCCTGAAAGGAGCAGAGCTGTGTCTGCACCACAGGCAGAACTGGGACAGAGCCCTGAGAGATCCCTGGGATGGGACACCGGGGTCTGAGCCCTCCTGCCTGGCACAGGCGCTGCAAACTGTGCTGGCCCCACCCTCTGCATCCCCAAGCCCATCACAGCACCAAGCAGCCCCCTGCCTCCACCAGGACAGGGCAATGCTTCTGGAGCCCCCCAGGCTTCGCCCAGGCTCCATCCCCTCCCTCCCAGCCTCTCACTCTGGATGCTGTCCAGCTGCAGGCCCATGATGAAGCCATTCTGGTCCAGGCTCTTCCTCAGGCGCTGCTCGGCAGCGTCGGGAGTGACGGCATCGCTTCCGTTCCCAAACACGAGGGTGGACTGGACCTCCACCGAGCCTTGGCTGCACAGGAGGAGGCATCAGCACCCGGATTGCCCCCTGAGGAGCTACAAACCGGGGGGGTACACTGCAGGACAGCAGCCCTGCTGGCGCTGCTGCTGCTCACCTGTAGCGCAGCTCGCTGCACCCGGTGTAGGTCTGCGTGCCCATGCAGCCCGTGCAGCCGAAGACGTGTTCGAACTGGAAGGAAGCACTGAGGTCACGGCCACCTCCCCACGGACACAGACACCCCCCTTTCCTGTCTCCATGCAGAACTGGCAGAACGGATGCTCCAGGTGCTTCCACGGAAAGCCACGAGGTGAGGGGGCTCCTTCCCAGCACATCTACCCCAAGGTGAGGGAGCTCCTTCCCAGCACGGCCCCAAATCTCTGTCCCAGGGTGAGGGGGCTCCTTCCCAGCACATCTACCCCAAGGTGAGGGGGCTCCTTCCCAGCACGGCCCCAAGGTGAGGGGGCTCCTTCCCAGCATGGCCCCAAATCTCTGCCCCAAGGTGAGGGGGCTCCTTCCCAGCACACCCCAAATCTCTGCCCCAAGGTGAGGGGGCTCCTTCCCAGCACATCTGCCCCAAGGTGAGTGGGCTCCTTCCCAGCAGAGCCTCAAATCTCTGTCCCAGGGTGAGGGGGATCCTTCCCAGCATGGCCCCAAATCTCTGCCCCAGGGTGAGGGGGATCCTTCCCAGCCAGCCCAGGGTCTCTGCTGGTGGGGCTGGGACTCACCATGGCCAGGACAGTGCGGCTCAGGCTCCTGTACTCCTCCGATGCCGGGTCTCGCAGGCTCTCGTTGAAGCTCCTGTTGATGATGCGGAAGGACAGCGGGACACGGACAAGCAGCTGGATGCCAGCTGGGGTTTTGCTGGGGTTGGGACCACCCCGGGTGGGGGTCTGCCCAGGAGCCGTGCTGCCCTCGGACGTTATCTGGGTGGGAAAGACCTGAGCGCTGGTGCTGCCGTTGCCTTTGGCGCTGCCAAAGTGCGTGGTGGTGGGGGTGGCAGAGCTGCCGTTGGTGCCAAAGTGGGGCACCCAGCTGCTGCTGTTGGAGGTGGCATTGGCATGGGGGATGGCTGGGCTGCTGTGGACGGGCACCACGGTGCCGTTGGACATGGAGCGGTTGCCAAACTGGAAGTTCGTGGTGTTTGTGCCAGGGAATGCAGTGGCATAGGGGATGACGGAGGTTTGGGGCCGGCTGCCCCGTGTGCTTTTGGGGTATATATTTGGCAGCCAGGTGGTGCTGGTGGTTTCCGTGGTCATCTCCACGGTGGTCGTTTCGGTAGTTTCCATCTCCATGGTTGTCTCGGTGGTCGTGGCACGGGTACCTGGAGGAAACCCCAGGAGTCAACGGCTGCAGCCCAGTTAGGGAAGGTTTCACCCAAAACAGCTCATCAGCTGGACGCTGTGGGAAGCACCACAACCCCCAGGAACCAAGAGCCAGTTGCTCACGAGGCTAACCCCACCAGCAACACCCCACGGCTGGGCACTTGTGGCACCACCGAGGGTCCAGGTGGAGCTGGCTGGGCACTGACACCGGTGCCACACCCAGCACTGCAGACCCTGGGGCGTCCCTGACATGCGGGGGGCTCAGGCATGCCACCCAACAAAGCCCCCCTTGCTGTGGGGGACAGGCTGGGCTGCCCCTGTGCCCTCCAGACTGGCTGGGGGCCAGTACAGGCAGCTCCCGGGCAAGTTCCCAGGGGTGCTGCAGGCAGCACTGGAGGAGAGCCCGGGGTCCGGATGCTCACCGGGACACACCTGCATTCCAGCCCGCAAGCCCCGGGCACAGCCTGCTCCGGCTGCTCCCGGCACAGCCCGGCCCTCGGCCGAGCCCTTCGGACGCGGCAGAGGGGCCGCGCTCTGAGCCCCCGGGTGCCAGCTTTCCTGGGCACAGCCGGGGCGCTGCACCCCAGAGCCAGAACGGGACAGGTGACAACGGCGCTGCTGCCAGGATGCCAGCGGGTCCAGGATCCCCCGGTGCCCGCTTTGAAAGGGATCCCGTTCCTCTCTCCCTGCCCCCAGCCCCTCACCTGTGCCCACCACCAGCAGCAGCAGCAAGACGGGGAACGCCATGTGGGGCTTGTCCGGGGGTCCCGGCGCCTCCTGGGGCTCAGCAGCGGCTGCTCTCCCGTTAGCCGGTGGCTGGCACACGCCTCGGTCCAGCAGGGATCCGGAACTGGCAGCGCGGCAGCGGCCGGAGCTTTATGGAGCACCTGGGGCAGGTGGGGCGGCCCCGCCCCGCCCGGCTGCGGGCAGGGGGGGTCGTTCTGCCCCGCTTGGCACAGGGGTGCCACCGTGCCCACGGGGCCCCCGCGGCATCAGCCCCCCCAAGCTGGGTCTGTCGCGCCTCCCTGGCTCGGGGAGGCGCCGCCGGCAGCGTCCCGGTGCCACGGGCAGAGAGCCGCGGGCGGGGGCACGGGGCGCGAAGGTAGCCGGGCATCCCGGGGAAGGGGTGGGAGCAGCATCTGCCTGGGATGAGCCACGGGCTCCAGAGCCTGGTGGGGGGCACGGGGTGGGCACGGAGTCCCCTGGTGCAGGAGGGGCCTCGTCCTCTGCTCAGCCCAGGGTTAATCATTACCGGCTGGGCATCGCCTCGCCCAAATAAACACCGGTGACCCCCCCGAAACGCTTACGCAGGTACAGCCCAGGGCCCCACGACACCCCAGTACCTCCCAGGAACCTCCCTCCGGGTGCCAGGGCCCCCCTAGCAGGCACAAAGCCCCGTCCCAGGACACGGGTGATGCCAGTGCTGGGTGTCAATGCCCCACCCCAGAGGTGACGGGCACCGCCCGTGCCTGGGCGCAGGTGACTTGTGCTCCTGGCACGGACGGGCATCAAAAGCTACCGTGGTCCCACTCTGCCCCTGCCCTGCAGGAATTCCTGAGAGCCCCAATCTCTCAGGAGGGTGCTGATTCCTGTGAGGATCCCAGTCCCTGGGGAGGTCGTGGTCCCCACGCTCGGCTCCTGGCCAGCCTCACGCGAAGCCAAAGTGCCACTGCTGTCACTCCAAAGGGTTCTGAGGTGGTGCTGAGAAGGGGAGCAGAGAGGGGGGCCTGGGCACTGAGGCTGAGGGTGGATGCCCTGGGTGTCAGCTCAGCAACGGGACCCAGCAGCGCCCTGCTCCCCCCACGGTGGCCACAGCCTCGGCAAGGCCGGCCACGTGCGGGCAGCAGCTCTGGGCAAACATTTCCTTCCCAAAAGGCCTCACTGTTGCGGAAGATAGATAAATAGGATTATCCATAAATAACCCAGCCAGGATGAGAACAGTTCTCCCAGCTAGCCGGACAACGCCCCTGCCTACGGATGGGTCCTGGGGTCAGGAAGACTGTTCCATCTCACCCCCCAAAAGATGTACGGCTCACCCCACACCTGTATTCCCTCCCCTAAAACATCAGTGGGGTTACAGGCACCCCATTGGCCCGAGCCTTGTTCCAACCCACCTTGAAGCTCCTTGAAAAGGGGGCTTCGAGGGGCCACGCAGTCTCTTGGAACTCCCTCCCTTCTCTTGGAACTCCCTCCCCTCTCTTGGATCCTCCTATCTCCTTGAGCATCCTTTTGTCTCTCCTTCCCCACCCTCTCAAACCCTGCCACATGCTTGGAGCACGAGGCAGGACCCTTCTGCATCCCCAAAAAACCTCATTCTCCAAGAGCAAACTTCAGAGATCTCTTGCTTCAATTCAGCCAAACCGTCCTGGAGATGCAGCAATTTTCTACACCTCACCAGGGGAATGGCTCTCCCCACGCAGTGCTGCTGAGCCCTGCTGCCCTCTGCTCCAGCCCGAATCCCCCACCCTGCTCAGCTCGGGGGGCTTTGCTCTGAGCCTCCCCACGAGGGGGGGGCTGAGGGGGTCCCAGCAACTGCGGTCACCCACCAGCCCTGGGAGAGAGGCCATGTGCCCACCCTGTCCATGCCCAGTGGGGTGCCCACCCTGTCCATGTCCAGTGGGTTCCATGTGCCCACCCTGTCCATGCCCAGTGGGTTCCCATGGTGCCCGGTGAGATCCCTGCATCCGCCCTGTTCGTGCCCGGTGTTTCCTCTGTGCCCACCCTGTCTGTGCCTGGTGTTTCCCCTGTGTCCAGCCTGTCCGTGCCCAGTAAATCCTTGTGCCCACCCTGTCCGTGCCCGGTGTTCCCCTGTGCTCACCGTGTCCGAGCCCGGTAAATCCTTGTGTCCAGCCTGTCCATGCCCGGTGTTTCCTCTGTGCCCACCCTGTCCATGCCCAGTGTTTCCCCTGTGCCCGCCCTGTCCATGCCCGGTGTTTCCCCTGTGCCCACCCTGTCCGTGCCCAGTAAATCCCTGTGCCCACCCTGTCCATGCCCCGTGTTTCCCCTGTGCCCATGCTGTCCGTGCCCGGTAAATCCTTGTGTCCAGCCCGTCCGTGCCCGGTAAATCCCCGTGTCCGCCCTGTCCGTGCCCGGTGTTTCCCCTGTGCCCATGCTGTCCGTGCCCGGTAAATCCTTGTGTCCAGCCTGTCCGTGCCCGGTAAATCCCTGTGTCCGCCCTGTCCGTGCCCGGTAAATCCCCGTGTCCGCCCTGTCCGTGCCCAGTAAATCCTTGTGCCAAGCCTGTCCATGCCTGGTGTTTCCCCTGTGCCCATGCTGTCCGTGCCCGGTAAATCCTTGTGTCCAGCCCGTCCATGCCCGGTAAATCCCTGTGCCCACCCTGTCCGTGCCCGGTGTTTCCCCTGTGCCCATGCTGTCCGTGCCCGGTAAATCCTTGTGTCCAGCCTGTCCGTGCCCGGTAAATCCCCGTGTCCGCCCTGTCCGTGCCCGGTAAATCCCNGTGCCCATGCTGTCCGTGCCCGGTAAATCCTTGTGTCCAGCCTGTCCGTGCCCGGTAAATCCCCGTGTCCGCCCTGTCCGTGCCCGGTAAATCCCTGTGCCAAGCCTGTCCGTGCCCGGTAAATCCCTGTGCCCACCCTGTCCGTGCCCGGTAAATCCCTGTGCCCACCCTGTCCGTGCCCGGTAAATCCCTGTGTCCGCCCTGTCCGTGCCCGGTAAATCCCTGTGCCCACCCTGTCCGTGCCCGGTAAATCCCCGTGTCCGCCCTGTCCGTGCCCGGTAAATCCCCGTGTCCGCCCTGTCCGTGCCCGGGGGTCCCAGCCCGCCCCGTCCCCGCCCCGCCCGAACCTGCGGCGCCCCCTGGCGGGCACCGCCCCGCACGACGCTCCCGCCGCGCACCGGGACCGGGACCGGGACCAGAACCGGGACCGGGAGGGGGAACGGGACCTCTACTGGAGTGAGACCAGGAGCGTGACAGGGACTGGGATTGGAGCGAGAGCGGGAACGCTGCTGGAAAGAAACCGGGAGCGGAATCGGGAATCGACTGCAGTAATGCAGAGCGGGAGTGAGACCGATACTGGAGCGAAACGGGAGCGGGAGAGGGAGCAGGAGCGGAGTCGGGAACGGTGCTGGACCGGGATCGGAGAGGGAGCAGAAGAAGGACCGGAACAGGAACGGGAACCGCGTTTCCCCGCGGGAGGAGGCGCTCAGCAGCCAGCGCTGATTTCACCTGTCCCGGTACTCCCGGGGAGAGCCGGCTGCGCTCCCGCCGCGGCCTCGGGGACGGGCACAGGCCCCAGCCGCGGTCCCGGTCCCAACACCGGAGGGCACCCCCGCGTTGCCCTTTTAAGAGGGGCCCGGTGCCGCCGCGCCCATTGTCGCCGCCGCCGCCGCCGCGGGGCGGGGGGGCCGGGCCGGTGCCGGGGCCGCGCGCTCCGGGGCGGGCGGGATGGGGTGGGGGGGGTTGGGGGCACATTCCGCCGCGTTGCCGGGACAGCCGTCGCCGTGGCGACCGGTCCCTGCCGCCGAGCCGCGGTGCGCGCCGCGCAGTTCCCACGGAGCGGCCCGGGCGGCGGCGGCGGCTCCGCTCCCTCCGGGGCGGCGGGAGGGCCGGGATGCGGTGCAGTGTTGTGCTCTCGCCCACCAATATTGCACTCGTCCCGGCCTCCCGCCGCCGCGGGCTGCGCCTGTGGGACCGGCCGGGCGCTGACCCAACCCCGCGACCACCGGGAGGACGGCGCGGGACGGAGCCGCGAGCACGGGGGGGGGGGACCCACGGCCCTCCCGGGCCAGCGGGAACCCCCAGGGACCGGGCGCGCAGGGTTAGAAAACACTCAAAACTTTATGGCCAGGCGTGGGGCAAGGACCGGAGCGCCCGGGGCAGGCGTGGCGGGAGCCCCGGCACTGCGGGGCCCCGGTACTGGCAGTGCAAAGTCCGCGGGGGGCCGGGAACGGGGCCCGGCCGGGAGGAGCGGCGGGGCCCGGTGCGCCCCCGGGTGCCGCCGGTGGCGAGAGCCCGGAGCGCCACCGGTGCCGCCGGCGGGGGAGGCCCGTGCCGGGCGCGGTCACTCGCGTCCCTCCAGCAGGAACCGGCGGAAGGGCTCGAAGTCGGCAGGGATCGTGTCTGTGGGGAGCAGCGCGGGGGGCGTCAGGAGCCGGCGGGGGCAGCGAGCCCCGGTAAAGCCCCCGGCCCGGGACTGAGCCCGCCGAGGGGCGAGCGAGGGGATGCTCGGCCGGCCGCCGGGCCGGTGCGGGGGTCCCGGGGGGCCCTGCTCACCGTTGCAGCGGTACTGCAGGTTGGACCAGATGATGTTCTCCTGGGAGAAGCAGAAGACCCCCAGCCGGCCCCCGCGCATCGTGGTGTCGATGATCACACCGGAGTCGGCCACCAGCTGCGGGCCCTCGTACAGACGGACCCTGCGGGGGAACGGGGCCCGACCGGTCAGCGAGCCCTCCCCGGGACCCCGCCGGTACCCGACCGGGGCCAACAGCGGGATCCTACTGGGACCCCCCCACGACCAGCACCGGCCGCCGGGCATCCCGACCGGGAGACGGTAGCGCCGGGCATCCCGACCGGGGGACGGTAGCGCCGGGAGGAAACCGGCGCACCCTGCGGGATCCTCGGGCCGGGGGCACCGGACCGGCTGGATCCTCGGGCCGGGGCCCCCCGCCGTGGCCGGGCTGAAGCCCCCCGCGCCGCCCCCGGCCCGGCCCCGCCGCTTTTGTCGGGCGCTTTGCATGTGAAAGGCGCCGGCGGGGTCGCCATGGCGACGGGACAATGGCCCCGGGGGCCCGGGGGGCGGAGGGCCCGGCGGCGGAGCCCCCCCGCCGCGGCCGCCCCGGCGGGAGCCTTAAAGGAGAAACGCGGCTGCGGTCCCACCGGGCAGAAGCCCCCGCCACGCCCGAAATCTCCCCACTGCGGTGGTCTCACGGGGCTGGCTGCTTCCCACGGCCGGTATCCCCACACTGCGGTGGTCCCGCAGGGCTGCATCCCCCGCACGGCCGGCATCCCCTCACTAGGGTGGTCCCGGGAGGCACGAGGCCTCCTCATGGACATCCTGCTACCCCCTGAGGTGCTTCTGCAGGGCAGAATCCTTGGTTATCACAAGGGCCGGGTCACTCTGGGCTTGCTTCTCACCACTCACCACCCCCGCGCTGCTGTGGTCCCACTGGGGCTGCACCGTGGGGAGCGCAGCCCCCACCCCGGTGGGCAGCCCCCCTGCCCCCCTGCTTACCTGATGTAGCCCACCTGGGGCCTGTGTGCCAGCTGCCAGCGGTAGGACGTCTTGTCCCTCCAGCCCACATTCCGGGGGTCCTTCCAGAGCAGGCGGACGTGGTCGGGCGTGTGGCCCGTGTGCCACAGCGCGTTGCGCAGGTGCTCCCCAG